TTCATCATATTATCTTGTTATTGAGGATGTGTTCAAAAATGTGGAATATGTGTTAGAAATATTAAGACTTCGTGTGAAGATCGAAATAAAGGTTGTTGTGCCAAATTGTATGAAAAGCCTCTATGTGCATAAGATTCCTAAATTGCTCATATGTGAATCTAATGTCTTGAATGGGAAGCCTTATTGTTGTTGATAATAATATTGAATGTGGAAAAGGGGTCTGGAACTATGGAATATGGCCAAGTGCCAAGAATGACTTTGTAATTGTTAAGAAGTACGTTGTGAGATGATTGACTAATGAAATTGTGGTAACGTCTCAAATGAGATGGCCTAGCCGATCGGGCCGAGATCGGACTCCGTGTAAGAACACGATGGTATTGTGAATGAAATTGTGGTAATGTCTCAAATGAGATGGCCTAGCCGATCAGGCCGTGATCGGCCGCCATGCCGCACACATAGTGGTACTGTGCTGGAAAGTTATAATGAAATTGAGGTAATGTCTCAAATGAGATGGCCTAGCCGATCGGGCCGAGATCGGACTCCATATAAGAACACGGAGGTACCGTGAATTATGGAATATCGGTACTAACGATCACCCAATCTAATAATATAAAAATTGACTTGAACACGTATATGATCCTTAACTTGTTGTTTTAATATTATTTTATCCTTGATTGTTCCTCTTGTATTATTATTATTCATTCTATTGAGTTGGTGTTTAGCTATACATACTAGTGCTATTCGACGGTACTAACGTCCCTATTGCCGGGGGAGCTGCATATTTAAATGGATGCAGGTGGTTACATAGCAGACAGTGCGGATCACAGATAGTGCTGCATCCTCTTCTCATAGGACTCGGTGACCCCCATTTCATTCCGGGGTCATGTATTGTACCTCTTGTTTATATTATGGTCACTTTTTGAGGTATAGTCGGGACCTTGTTGCCGGCACCATCCTTACTCTCTTTTGTATCTTTAGAGGCTCCGTAGACACTATGTGGGTTGTATATGGGTGTTGGGAATGTTAAACAAGTCATGTTGTGTTTGATCACTTGTTCCACTTGAACTTTAAGAAATGTGTATTTTGGGACTTATAAGCGCAATGGCTAATGAAATGATTTAGGATTGTATGAATGAGACTCCTACTGTATAATTAATGAAATCACGTCTTCTCTTGATCATGGGTTAATTGGGTAAAAAGTATCTAACAGGCTTGCTCGGTCGGGTTCACTTGGTTGAGTGCCGGTCGCGCTCCTCGAGGATGGGGCATGACAGCGGCGCATTACAATACACAGTGTAAGACCCTGAACCCGTAGGCAACACCAACAATGGGGTTTTAATCAATGCAGTCTTGAGCTTTTGAAAGCTCGCCTCACACTCCTTAGACCATCTGAAAGGAGCACCTTTCTGAGTTAATCTAGTCAAAGGTGCAGTAATGGATGAGAACCCCTCTACGAAACGGCGATAATATCCGGCCAAACCAAGGAAACTCCAAATCTCCGTAGCTGAAGACGGTCTAGGCCAACTCTAAACTGCCTCAATCTTCTTCGGATCTACCTTGATCCCTTCGCTAAACACTATATGACCCAAAAACGCTACTGAATCAAGCCAGAATTCATACTTGGAGAATTTTGCATATAACTTCTTCTCCCTCAAGGTCTCGAGCACAATCCTCAAATGCTGCTCATGATCTGCCCGGTTACGAGAATATACCAAGATGTCTTCAATAAAAACAATGATGCATGAGTCAAGATATGGATGGAATACACTGTTCATCAAATGCATAAATGTTGCAGGGGCGTTGGTCAGCCCAAATGTCATTACTAGAAACTCGTAGTGACCATACCGCTTTCGGAAAGCAGTCTTCGGGATATCTGAATCCCGAATCTTTAGCTGATGATACCCTGACCGCAAATCAATCTTCGAGAACACACTGGCACCCTGCAACTGGTCGAACAAGTCATCAATGCGCGGTAATGGATAATGTTCTTCACTGTAACCTTGTTCAACTATCTATAATCAATACACATCCGCATAGTACCATCCTTCTTCATCACAAACAGAACCAGAGCACCCCAAGGTGAAACACTAAGCCGGATGAAACCCTTATCAAGCAACTGCAGTTGCTCTTTTAACTTCTTTAACTCTACTGGTGCCATACAATATGGTGGAATAGAAATGGGCTGAGTGCCCGACACCAGGTCAATACCAAAATCGATATCCCTATCTGGCGGCATGCCCGGTAGGTCTGTTGGGAACACATCTGGGAAATCCCTCACTACCAGAATTGACTTAACGGTAGAAGTATCAGCACTAACATCCCTCGCAAAGGCTAGATATGTTTCACACCCTTTCTCAACCATCCATTGTGCCTTATGGAAGGACATAACCCTGCTAGGAATATAATCCAATGTACCCCTCAACTCCAACCGCGGCAAACTTGGCATAGCCAGTGTCATGTCACCAATCCATGCCCAAGATCACGTCAAATTCTACCATACTAAGAAGCAATAGATCAAATCTAGTCTCATAACCATAAATAACAACTAAACACGACCGATAAACACGGTCCACAACAATAGAATCTCCCAAGGGCGTGACATATATACAGGAGAACTCAAAGAATCACGAGATATATCCAAATACGGAGCAAAGTAAGATGACACATATGAATAAGTAGATCCCAGATCAAATAAGACCGATACAACCCTATGACAGACGGGAACAATACATGTGATAACAACATCCGATGCAACTGCCTTCGTCCTACTAGGAAAAGCACATAAACGAGCATAGCCTCCCCCTGTAGGGTGACCTTTACCCTCCCCACCCCTAGCTGGCGGTGCAGGTGGAGCGGCAACTGGAGCAGCAACCATGGCTTGTGAATCCTGTGGACCCTATGGAATCCGTGGAGCCTGTGTAATCTGTGGAGGTGAACCCTTCCTGAGTCTGGGGCAGTCTCTCACCATATGTCTGGTATCACTACACTCAAAACAAGCTCTCGGTGTGCGTGGCTGCTAAAACTGACTCTGTCCTGGTCGGCTAGACTGCGCGCTGAAGGCACCATGTGCAGGAGGTGCACTGGACAGTGGCTGAGCAAAATGGGCAACCTGAGACCTCGAAATAGCTGGAGCACCGCTAGTAGCTGGAAGTGCCGAATGAACTGGGCGGCTCACATAGCCTTTGCCATGACAGGCTGCAACTAGAGCGCGGGCACCACTATATCCTCCTGAATCTCGAGGCCTCTTGGCCTCCTTGTCCTCTCTCTTTTGGCCCCGCATACCCTCTAGCCTCCGCCCGACCTCTACCACCTGCTGAAACGGAGTATCCGTCTCCAACTTCCGAGCCATGTTGAATCTAAGGTCATAACTGAGCCCCTCGATGAATCTGCGGACTCGCTCTCTGACTATAGAAACCAAGGCAGGTGCATATCGGGACAACTCACAGAATCTGATAGCATACTCTGACACTGACATAGTTACCTGGCGCAGCTGCATAAACTCGGTGTGCCATGCATCACGAAGGGTCTAGGGAATAAACTCTCTCAAAAACCTCTCTGAAAACTAAGCCCAAGTGAGTGGGGCTGCATCAGTTGGCCTACCCTCCTCGTAAGCCTGCCACCACCGATACGCTGCTCCTGACAGCTAAAATATAGTAAAAGTAACTCCGCTCACCTCCACAATACCCATGATGCGGAGAATACGGTGGCACTTCTCTATAAAATCATGCGCATCCTCGGTAGTTGTGTCACTGAAAGTAGGAGGATCATACTTCTTGAACCTCTCAAGTCTCCTCTGCTCCTCCCTAGATGCCTCTGGCCTGACCTCAGGCTGAACTGGTATAACGGATTGTGCTGGCATGACACCCCGGGACCTGATCACCGTGGACCCTCTACTCTGGTGTACGGACCACGGGAGTCTGAGCTCCTCCCCCAGCCTGAGATGTGGCTGGTGCACGGGGAATCAATCCTGCCTGAGCTAGAGTGCCGAACATGGTCAAACATTGCGCTAGGGTCTCTTGAAGTCCAATGGCAGTAACAGGCATCCCGGGTTCCTGTCCCCCTACCGGAGCTACTGGAGGCTCCTCAGTCGTTGCTCGGATTCGCACGATAAGGAATCAAAGAAGTAAAATTTCCTAACAGTTTCGTAGCCTCTCAAAGATAAGTACAAAAGTCTCTGTACCGATTCGCAAGACTCTGCTAACCTTGCTTATGACTTGTAATACCTATGAACCTAGAGCTCTAACACCAACTTGTCACGATCCCAATTTTTCACCTTAGGATATAGTGATGGCACCTAGTCTCTAAGACTAGGTAATCCTAACATTCATAGATAGCTTAACATAAATAACAAAATTGAGATAATAAAATACACCAATATAGCTCATAATATCTCCAAAAAGGAACATCAACAACATAATCCCCAAAACCGATAGAACTGAATCATAAGCTTTACAAAATGCTCTAAAATCTCTAATACAACATTGTCTGAATAGAGTATAAATAGTAAAAAGAGAATGGCGGAAGGTGACACTAAGGCCTGCGAGCGTCGGACAAGTATACCTTGAAATCTCCGGAAATAGCTGAATGATCACTAGCGTCTCGCACGAGCAGATGTACCTGGATATGCACAAAATATGCAGAAGCGTAGTATGAGTACACCACAACGGTACCCAATAAGTATTAAGCATAACCTCGGTAGAGTAGTGACGAGACCAGGTCAGGACACCTACTAGGACAAGATAAACTAAACAGAGTGTAATAAAGACCAATAACGGTAAACGGCAAATTAAATGATAACACAGCAGTACAATAATGTAGGCTAATAACAGAATTTTAGGCAAGAAAGGCAACGAGAAGTGAACACATGATGAGAACAACAAGTAATCAAATATGGACAAATACAAGTAAGACAATGAAGAAAACAACAAGAACATGTTCAACCAACAAGCTTTTTTAACATGGAATGTACAACAAGAATCACAACGCGGCACCACACCTCATAACCTCATAAAAGAATTAAAGGCATAAACATAAATACATTAATTAAAAGATAAGGATAGAGTGTGAGACTTGCATGTCTAAAATAAAGGCCTTAAGGGCTATTTATACTAAAGTGGATATTTGGCTACAAATGATCAAATACCCCTAAGCTAATTCTATGGAACTAAGTGTAGTCAATTATTACAAGTATAGCCTTCTTGATCTTGACTCCTTTAAAGCACTCCAATGCTATAATGTTGACTTGAAAATCGTTAGGCATGCTCATCCGGCGTGTATCATCCTCCCCCCTTAAAGAAATTCGTCCTCGAATTTGGACATTGCGAAACCAAGAAAAGGGCAAACATAAGTACCAAGCCAATCACAATCAAAGCATTGCATGTCCAAGCTAAAAGATCAAAGATCACAATCTTGCACTCAAAAGTGACACTCTTATGATATAGCCAAGTGACATAATCAATAAAGAACACATCTCCAACACATATGACACAAACTTGACTATAAGAAAAATAATACTTATGAGAAGAATCAAGAGAGTGTAAAGTTTCATGCTTCCGACAAAATCACAATCTTGTAAAATCCTCAACAAAGTGCACACTTTTATGGTATTATCAAGTGTCATAAGAAGCAATAAAACTCATACTCTCCAATCCAAAGAAAGACACTTCACCATGATAAGAAGCAACTCCGGGGTCAAACACAAATTTTAATCCCCAAATATCTACACACTTTCCAACAACTTCACATGACAACTTAAGAGATATGTCAAACTCATCATGAATCATCATATAAAGAATATCACAATACTCAAAGTTAAGAGTCTTTACCCCAATGGCCTTAGATAAACACAAGATAAGCATAAGCCAAACGTACATACTATTCTTTCTTTTGGGCAAAAGAAAAAGTTCTTGACAAAAAGTATACCAAATTGTTAGTTCAAGGCCTTTCTTACCCTTAGCAACGTTCTCTTGTTGAACTTTCACAAAATAATCAATAAAGTTAGTTTCTTTTTGCTCAAAATAGTCTGTCAAAACACCAAAAGAAACATTCTTACCTTTTCTCATAGAAGCATTGGCAAAATCCAACGAGAATGTTCTTTCAAAAGTAGGAATAAGATAAGTAAAGCAATTAATACTAGTGCTAGCATCAAAAACTTTACTTTCCTTGTCACACCTAACAAAATCATCACATAAATATGGATAAGAGTCATCAAGATCAAATACAAGAGAAGTCAAACTCATTAGAATACAAATGGAAGTTTTCTTCTTCTATATTTATGTCATTATAAGTAACTTGTTCACTCTTCAACAAGGCATCTCCACACTCACATTTGCTCATTTCACCATAAAAATTGAATTGTTTTGCCAAAGGAATGAAAATAGAATCAAAAGAATCATCAACACATTCTTCTTGACTCATTTCTTCATAAAGGTCAAAACTTTCTTCCAACAAAGTTAAAGTAGAGTCAAAAGAATCATCACATGCATCATCCCATAAAGGTGGGGTATCATAAGATTCAACATCACACACATCACTAGCTAAAGAGTCATTAAACAAAGAACTATAATCATCCAATAATGCACAAGAACTCCTAGCTAGTTGCAAGCCATAACTATTTTTCTCATAACAAGATAAAGAAGTATCAAACTCATCAATATCATAGCTATCTTTCAAACTCAAAGTGTCACCACAATCAATTAAACGAACAAGAGTAGAAGGATAAGCTATTTACCTTGAAGCTCGTCTAAAGTATTCTCTTTACCTCGAACGTGTTCATTAAATTTCAAAAGTTCTCTTGACAAGGTAGCTTGATCTTCTTCCAAGTTCATCAAAGTAGATTGAACTTCACTTGATGGCTCATCTCCAAAAGTTCCCTCACAAGATACAAAACAACTAGAGAAAGAAGAAAGGTTATTAGCATTAGAATAAGGAAAATCCTCACTCTCTTTTTGTTTTTCCTCTTTCTTTTCTCTCAATTGCTTTTCAAGCTCTTCATTCTTTTCTTGTGACAACTCATTCACTTCACTCCACATTTTCTCTCCTTTTTCCACTCTAGAGTTGTCACTTTTCTCTCCCTCACTTCTCTCTATCTTTTGTCTCTCAGCCTTACTTTTTCTCTTTGCATTTTTCAAGGATGTTCTCAAACTCATTTGGTCTCTTCCCCTTTGTTTCACTTCATTCCCCCTATATTTGTCATTGAAAACTTGTTGGATGTTGTCCAACTCATTCAAGGTGTCCTCTTGATCATGTTGAAAAAGTGGGTTGTTCATCATTCGAGGTTCTTGAGGCGGTATGAGTGGTGGAAGAGGGAGATTATCCCTCCTTGGTGGTACTTGAGGCATATGTTGGGGAGGTAGATTCATTGGTGGTCTAGGTTGGGTCATTTTGGGTGGGGGTGTTATGGGTATGTATGCTTGAGGTATAAATGGTGGTTGGTGTTGGTAGTGGGTAGGTGGTCGGTAGTTTGGTGGAGGAAAATAAGGTCCCTTTGGTGAATGTGGTCGCTTTGGTAGGTTTTGTGGTATTTGGAAATGTTGGTTATGTTGCGGTTTTCCTCTTTTAAGCATTTGTCGCACTTGTGAAGGAGAGGGTGTAGTAGAGGAATTAGTAAGCGTCATACTACTCTCCCTTCCTTGTCGCCTCAAGTGAGATTCCTCCATCATGGAATTCAACCTTGAATCCATTTTGTGTTTCCATATGGTAATATTGTTAACCTTCTCACTTATGGTGGTAACCTTCTCATTTATGTCATAGAGCATTGATACAACTTCATTTATCAGAGTCGCACTCCTTGGATTACAATTAGGACTAGAAGTTTGTTTGTACTCCATGATACCTACAAAACGAGCAAACAAATTAGTAGTAAAGTCCTCACCAAGCTCACTCGATGTTGCTCAACCGTCGTGTATCACACTTTGCACCAATTGGCTTTTTGCGTGCTCAAAGTCCTAGTCGCTCTTGCCTTTTTCCGGTCAAGTAGTGAATGTCAAAATTGCTTGCAAACTTAAATCCCAAGGTTTCACAACAAGTTCCAACAGTCTTCGGGGTGGAGTGGAAGTTGTGTATTCACAAGGACGGACAATTAAAAGCAAACGGACTTGAACCAAGCAATTCACAACGAAATTAGAAGATAAAAGCACGAAACAATTGGCACGAAACTAAATTAAGCACACAAAGAACTAGGTTAAAACTTAATATGAACTAATATCAAGTTTACACTAGTTTAGAATTAACAAACAAGAAGAAAAAGATTAACAGTTGGAAGAAAAGAAAACTGGACTGAAAAATTTCTGAACTTCTGTCAAAATGCTGGAAAAATTGTTCTACGGCCAGACCCCAAACTCAGCAAATTTCCCAAACTGTGCAGGCCTTAAATTGTGCAGTAGCTGGTGCAAAACCTCTGGTGCCACTGGCAGTCATTAAGCATGTGCAGATTCAGTAAAACTGGGCAGAATCAGTTCAAACAGTTGTGGAAAATAAATGCAGAAGCAGTGCAGTATTCTCAAACTGGAACAAGCTGGTGCAGATTTGCTATTCAATTGCTGCTAAACAACTGATCAGGAGCAGTAGTTCTGAAGGTTCTGCTCAAGCTATGAAGACTTACAATCTGCAGAAAACAGTCCAAAATTGCAGGGGAACTGTGCAAAAATTATCTGCAGAAATTTTGGACTATGCAGCCTGTAGAAAAGCTTCAACTATGCAGAATTTATGCTCGAGAAGTGCGGGATATTAGCTGTGCAATCACTGGACAAAACTTATTCAAAAGAACTGCAGTTTGGATGTTAAACAAAGTAGATTTCAGCAGCTCCAATCTGGCTCAGAACCTAATTCAATTCAGCTCCTTTCTAGCTTAAGAAACAGTTCCAAAAACCTACTGATTTCCCAGCTCAGATGCTGGCCAAAGCTGCAAAATTTCAGCTGCTCAGCTGGTGCCAAATACTGAGAAGAACAGGTACACAGCTGGTGCAAAAGTGCAACAGAAATTTCACACTTCAGTGCAAAATTTTCAGTCCTCGGATGTTGTTCCAAACTGCAACTACATGGGAACTAACTGGTGCAACACTTGTGCAGAAATGGTGCAACTTATGAGGTTCAACAGTCCAAAATTCTGCAGATTTTCAGCAAATAACAGAGGAACAAACAGCACAGAAATTTTGTGGCTCAGTTGTGCAGAACACTTAACCAAACAACAGCTAACTTGAGAGCTCAACTGTGCAGATTTGCTGCCAAAGTTGCTGCAGAAAACTGATCAGAAACAACCTAAATTTCAACTGTTTGTTGCTGCAATCGCAAGAAGTTGCTGTTCAACTTTCTGGATAAAATTCTGGGCAGAAACTGGCTATCAAAATACTGATGCCCAAACCATTGAGACAATTCCGCACTCTTCAGCAGCAGCACATCTCCAAAGATAGCTCAAAACAGTGCAGAATTTTGCTGTCAAATACCTTTAGCTGAACTTGTGACAGAAAAATGCACCTTAAAACAGTCCAACCTCAAAGAATTTTATCACAAACTTCAGAAGCAAACACAAATATAAAACCAAACTGCAAGCTCTCAACAACTATGAGAATAGCATTACAAGGCTCACAAGTTGTCAATCCAACTGATGCAAGATAAGAGGAACAGTGCAAACCAACAAGAACCTCGAGTCGACTTCTGAATTCACACTCAGAAAGATCAACTCAAAGTCTCAAAGGAATTCACCCAAACATGCTTTCAACCTTCAGTAGCTACTAATTAACCAATCAGTTCATTCAAGCAATAAGCGACGCAAGTCGACTTCAATTATTCAATTCAATTAACTCAGACGATCTAGTCGATGTTCAGTTGAAACTCAATTCTCAATCAGTAACACGTAACGGCTTAGGACTCCAGCAGAATTAGAAGCTGTCTTTAAATTCCAGAACTCAATGATGAACTTCTATTCTCAATTTAGAAGAACAGACTAAAATTTCCCTTAAAACTTCCAGAAAACAACTAGTTTACAGCTTGTTTGGATGGTTGTTACATATCGTTTCATAATGTATCGTATCGTATTTTATTGTATTGTACTGTATCGTTTGATGAATACAATGTTTGGATAGATTGTGTCGTTTGCCGTCGTTTTATGATATCACACACCAGCGATATGAATAATAAACTTGCAATATAATTAAAAAAATTATGATATGGTATATAAAAAGGTAGGGTAAATGATAAAATAAAATTATTTAATAATAATAAAGGGTGAGATTGAGAGAAAAAAATAAGGTAACGACGCGACCACACCAAATCGGTCGTTATATATAGTGGCACATTTCGTCGTTACGTAACACGGATTTAACGATACGATACAATAAAATTCAAGTAACAATCAAAACAAACATCGTATTTAAAGTAACAATACTATACAATACAATAGGTAACAACCCTCCAAACAAGCTGTTAAGCTCAAAAGAACCAAACCTGATGCGTCGAGGAGTGCATAGGCTACGTAACAGTTAGATTTCAGCAATCAACACTCGAAGAAAAAATTGAACGGCGCCCAAAGATTTGCAGGTAGTTCTTCGATTGAACTTCAGGTTGCCAACCCAAACTCAACCTAAACTTCTTCGAATTGAACTCAAATGGTAACCACAAACTCCTCTCAGTAATCCGAGCAAACCCTAGTTTTCAATTTGTTCCAAGGCACACGAAATCGACGAACCCTAGGTCTTCTTCTTCTTCGAGTCGACTCCGCAGATTTGACCTAGCACCAGTTCGAATTCAGTCACAAACGAACCCAAGCTTCAGATTAAACCTCAATCGAGCTTTACCAACAAGATTAGAACACGCCCAATCGATTTCGAACTCGAAATTTTGGATCTAGAGCACAACCCCAATTTTTCGATTCGTCCGTTTCACGTCGGGTTCACCAATCTCAAACCCAAACTTCGAATCCAAGCTCAATTCAGTAATTTCAAATCAGATAATGAAGAAATTCAGAAGGTTCAGAATCAAATCGAAGGAGATAGAGCAAATATTTTTGAATTTCTATTTTGGAAACGAACAAGGAAATACATTTCTAATTGCAGTCACAAACAACGGATGAACAGTAAACTTGCTATTTTGGAAATTTTTGAATTTCTTTTATTTTTTATTTTTAGATTAGATGATAATCAAAACAAAAACCAAAGGATTAATAGAACAATCCTCAACCTCCGATACAATATGATACGAACTACGAACTAAAATATGGATATAGCGAAACACGCGGAAATAAGAGGTAGACCTATAATTGATTGGAATAACAAGAACCAATTAGGATACAAAGCCTAATTACCTCCATTAGCTCAATCAATTATAACTTTAAGCTATAAAAATAAGAGCTAGACCTACTGGAAAACAAGAACCAATTAGGATATGAAGCCTAATTACCTTTATGAACCCAATCAATTGTAACCTTAAGCTATGAAAACCCTTAAGAGATTGACAACTCTTAAAAACCCGGATAAAGTAATTAAGCAATTAAGCATTCACTACTAATTGCTCACCAATTAAGACTAATATAGCACTAATGAAAGAATAAATAAAACAATAAAAGAATTAAAGGTATAAATATAAATACATTAATTGAAAAATAAGGATAGAATGTGAGACTTGCATGTTTTCAAGTTTATCATTCATCAAGTCTATCTAAAATAAAAGCCTTAAGGGCTATTTATACTAAAGTGGATATTTGGCTACAAATGACCCAAATACCCCTAAGTTAATTTCTATGGAACTAAGTGTAGTCAATTATTACAAGTATAGCCTTCTTGATCTTGACTCCTTTAAAGCACTCAAATGCTATGATGTTGACTTGGAAATCGTGACGCTTGCTCATCCGGCGTGTATCAAAGCCTCGCAAATGCGGCTACTAACAAGCCCAGAAGATGTCGCAATTGCGACACAGATATCGCAATCCCCCCTGTCATAGTCGAAAATGCGAAGCTGGTGCTCGCAATTGCGATAACTGCAGCACCAGCACACCAGCAACCTGATTTCAGTTCAAACCCTTCTGAAACATGTCTAAAACTCACCCGGCCCCTCGGGGCTCTAAACCAAACGTGCACACAAGTCTAAAAATATCATACGAACTTTCTCGCGCAATCAAAACACAAAAATAATATCTAGAACCACGAATCGGACATCAAAACGCATGAATTTCAAATAAAAATTCAAGAACCTCTAGAATTACAACCAAGAGTCCGAATCGTATCAAACCAACTTCAAATGACACCAAAATTTGCAGCCAAGTTTCAAATAGCAAAATATACCTATTCCAAGCCCTAAAATCAAATTTCGAACCAGATAGCCAAAAGTCAACCTATGGTCAAACTTGAAAAGTCTTCTAAACCTCAAATTGCCAACTTTCGGCAAATCAACACAAATCAACCTACGGGCCTATGAATTTGATTTCGGGCATATGCCCAAGTCCAAAATCACGATACGAACCTATCGGAGCCATCAAAATACCGTTGCGGGGTTATTTTCTCAAAAGTCTAACTTTGGTCAATATTTCTAACTTTGGCTTCTAAGCCAAGAACCAAAGGGTCCAAATCAACCCAAAATCTTTTTTGAACGAAACTAACCAGCCCCGCAAGTTATAAAATAATAAATACACATGTGTGGAGCATCAAAAGGGGAAATGGGGCACAAATACATAAAACGACCAGTTAGGTCGTTACAAATATAATTAGTATTTTCTTTTTAGACGTACAATTTAGTCCATGTCATCTTCTTTTGCGAGTATTCACATTATTGTCCTCGTCCTCAATGAAAATACAATATTTTTCTTAATTTTAGAGGTGAAGATACTCGCAATACATTTACAAGTCATTTGTATGAAAGTTTGAAAAACAGGGAAATGTTCACCTTTCATGGAATGCAAGATTAATCAATATGGATAACAAACTTTGATCATACCGATCTTCAGCCTTTGACAAACATGAATCAAGGGTGTAAGGTCGATCATGTTGAAGGAATGCAGAAGGTATAAAGATGGAGGATTGCTCTAACTGCTGCGGGCACAAATCTAAAAGGATATGATATCCGTCAAGGGTGACAAAGAATTATATTCGTATTTGTAGACACGGAACCATTTCGGTAACTTCTATTGACGTCGTTTCAGTTAGATTTTGCCACGTGTCTTGGACATTAAAGGAAAATTGCACATGTTGCTCCAAATTCAAAATAAAGGTGTCAGACACGTCTATTTTTCTCTCCTAAAATTCTTTCCATTTCCCGCATATTTTTCAGCAACTATCTGAAAAGTAGGAGACTATCTGTATTGGTTAAATATGATCATAACACATGGCTGGGTTAGCTTTAATTGAAGAATGGTAAGATCGGCCAAGAAGCACCTCCCGTATGATTCAATTGGGACCAGACAACGTCAATTCGGAGGAAATCATCTGGAAAGTCATCAGTATCCAGAGAGGCTGATCTTCCGAAATATCTGAGATTTAGCATTAACGCACGGGATGAACCGATAATGCTCATAACGGGCATGCGAAATCTTATTGAGCAGTTACACAAGGTTGTTATTAGAAATACTCCTTTTTTCCACGGTTGTATCCTTATTTGAATTTATATTTCCACTGTTATCTATCTATATTTATACTATATTAAAAGCACGAAAGCCGTTAGCGAAATGTCGTTCGCCTTTTTTACCCTTTTAAATATAGAATTCACACTAGACAAAATAGTCATTTGAATATATTTTCTAATATTTAGGAATTTAATACGTTAGGTAAGTTTTTTTCTTTTTTATGTTCTGTTTACCTTTTATTTTCGTTAATTATTTTAGTGTACCATTACTTCATATTGGACAAAGTTGCACGTGTTTAATTATTGCTCAATGAGTAAAAGGTAGATAATTTAATATTATAATTTAATTATTTTTCTAATATTAAAAGCACGATTCGCCTTTTTTATCTTTTAAAAATAACTAGTTTCTATTAACGTGCATTGCAGAGCCTTTAAATACTTATGCAATAATGTTTTATCACTTAATATTCATGGATATCGTTTTAAAAATACCGAGTAGCATGAATGTATTATTTGTTCGTAGAAGTGGTAACTAAAAGAAGTAAAAGAAGCTTTGTCATACAAAATAGAAGAAAAATAAAATTAACTCGTTAAGGGACAACTTGTTTATTTTTAGTCAATTAATAATTTTGTTACACCAAATATGAAAGAAGGGAGGTAAACGTAATATCGTGAGCCACGAAAGAGGTTAGTGTTATGAAGTCAAACCTGAAGGGAGATCTCTGAAACTATCTCTATTTAATATTGTTTAAAATGCAAGTTGTGTATCGATTGGCAAGAACAATATAAATATTTATAAGAACAGAATTTATGAGATATTTGGACAACTTGTTTTAAGCTTTTATATATTAAAATAAATTCTTTAGAAGAGTAAAATCCTTGATTATAGATGATTTTATTATACAATTATTTTAAGAAAGACATAATATAAGATAATATTATTTTTGTAACAGAAAAAGGAACTAGATAACTGATACCCTCCTAAGTCCCAATTTGCAGAACTATGCTAAAACTTTATATTGATATTCCCATTGGATCTTTTAAAGTGAAGCGTAAGATCAACCAAAACAAAAAAGACATCATTTTTTTTTAAAATTACCTTTAAAGAAAGAACAACGATAGCAATGTACTGCATGCTGATATACTTCATGAATTCTTCATTAAATATATTAAGTTAATCTTTAAGAGAAAATTCATGAAATTAAGAAATTAAATTACCTCTAGAAAGACATATGTCTTTTGAGTGCAACAACAAATGATGAAACGCGTTATTAAAGAATGCCATCATATCAGAACGGATAAATAATACACTGGAATAAGAAGCCAAGCTGACACAATTTATTTTCCATTGAGATCGTTACAACATACAACTTCTTTTATTTTTAATCTCAAGAATGAACTCATTTTATGAAATTATAAATAAAAAAATCTTAACCATATTTAACATACAAAGTTGTTGAAGTAAATTAATCACTCAGCTAAAGCTCAAATTCTACTACAGGCAACTGTGCACTTGCTTCCTCTGCGTGTTTGATGCTTTGTTTATGTCTAAACTTGTTGAGTTAGATACATGAAACTAATATTTGAGAGAAAATTATGTATCGAACAAAATTAATAAATTACCTCTAGAAGATTTATATTCCAAAATAATAAGTACAACTGAATTTGTTTGAGGTAGACATAAATAAATTATACAAAGTGTCCTTCTGCATGTTGATAAGTGTTTAAAAGTGTTTGTGTCCATGTCGGGTTGGTACGGAACTTCCACATTAAGTAGAACACATATGGTAAATATATGAAAAGTTGGAACTTGATTGGTGTTAGTAGTTTGTTCAAATTCATAATTATCTCCAACGTTATCACTTTTTAATTGAATTAGAAGTTCTCGATATTGGTAGAATGAGAATTTATATGCACGGTAAGTGGAGTTTAAATCGGGAAAGAATTCCATTCTTGGGTAATATTTTAAATATTAAAATTATATCTAACATTAACTCAAATATTCAAGGGCATAAAAGTCTATCAAAGTTTCAAGGATATTTTAGTCATTCAACATTTAGCATAAATTATTCGTGTTTTTATAATAATATAGATAGTTAGATAGATAGATATAGATTAACTTTTGGTGGTTTTAAACAACTTAAAAAAAAATTCTAAGTAGTTGGTACATGTGTTTTGTTGGTTTATTTATTTTTTTCTCTATGACGTGCATACTAACAATCTCATATCTTTTGATAAATTCACCGATCATTTTCTAAACATCTCCCAACAGTACAACACTCAAAAAGCAAAATATATATAGAAAAAAAGTTTACCTTTAAT